GGCCATTTCCTGCCAGGTGAAAAGGCGAAACTCAGAAGAAAGCTCCACTCAGTGGACTACTGGGATTGCCGAGGTTCAGCTTCCTATTGAGTAAAGCCCTTTCCTACTCTTAATTTATTACACTATATGTTATGTGAATGTTCTTGTTTGAAATTAGTTGTAGAGCACTTTTTCTACGCAATTCTTCATCCTTCTTAACGAAAGTGAGCATAGATGGTCACAAGGTTATGCCTTTGTTTTTGAATCTGCATTGATAGCATGAGAGCAGAATCCTTGCATGTAATCTCATGGATGCATGATTTATATGATAATTTTTCCTATGCTATAAGTTTTTACTTGACTTTTAATTGTTATGTTTTATTATTTCTAATGATTGCAGATACAAGTTAAGAAATATTGAGGAAACTGAGGCTGCCAAGAAGTTTTTGCAGGAGAAGCGGCTCATTGGGCAGACAAAATCAGAATTTAGCATCCCCTCAAGTTACAGTGCCGATTATTTCCAGCGTGGCAGGGATTATGCAGAAAAACTTAGAAGAGGTTGGTTAGCTTTCCTTCTTAATTCCATTGAATAATATGAGTAGATTACGTAGTTGACTTCACACCAAACTGGTAAGTCAAGGGCTATGCTAGTCACAAAATCTTTTTTTTATTTAAATACAAGCAATAGTTTAAACTATAAGGGGAGGGTGGTTTCTCACACGCACTGACAACACATGAAACTTACTGACAACAAACATGGAACTTACAGAACATCCTGAGCTCTACAAAGATAGAAGTGCACAGGATGATGGTGGTGTTTCCAGACAAAATGATACTGGTACAGAAGCAGCAGGGCAGAGGCAAGCTGCAACAGATCAGTTCATGCTTGAGCGCTTCCGCAAACGAGAGCGTCACCGTGTCATGCGGAGGTAACGCTGCTCCAACAACAGTAAAATGCTAGAATGGAATTTAGGCTAATAAAAAAGGAATCAAGAATGGTTTCTGCACTCATTATGCCATACAACATGTGAAAATACGCTGTTTGTTGCAGTTTGTGTCACAAAGCTCATTTTGTTGCAAAAGCATCGTCCTAACTAGTTTTTGATGTAATATCTAACATTCTTTAGTCGACTTTGCCTGCTCAAAAGCTTGGCCTGTCTGATGACAGAGCTGAATGTGGATGGTCTTTCCTGGAAGCATGCTTGCAATTTCTGTTTAGTTTGTATCCATCACTCAAGGGAGCAGACCAAATGCAAGCTTTAAGAGCTTCAAATGTTCTGGCTGCATCCTCTTAATTGTCTAAGTATGTGTTTGGTTTGTCTTAAGAAATACCTTGAAATTTTTTAAGGTGTATGATTGTTAAAGTAATCACTCTCGATATAAGGCAATCAAACAGTTTTGACCTCCAAGTGTAGGTGTGATGTTTATGAAATTGATCAATATGTGAATTTGAACAGGGGGAAAATTTTCAAATTCATTTGGTTGCGAATAAATTGAAAGAGTTATCAAGACTTATATTGCTATGACTTGCTAGATTTATCAGTCTGAAGGAGTTTTGACATGAAAAGCGTAACATGCATAGATTAATGTCGTAGTTTAGGGAAAATTTAGCAAATACTGCCTGAACTTTACCCATTTCGACACTTGACCACCTGAACGTCATTTTGTGACAATTTATTACCTGAACTAAATTGTTGTGACAAAATACAACATACCGTCATAGGGTTAGAGTTCTGTCAAAAAGAGTCACGTGAGTCCCATGACTACTATTTCATTTCACATTGCCACAAACAGTTTTTTTATGCTAGATTACCGGCTGCAATTTTTTTTTGGGGTGTCAAATTAGGCCTTGGTCAAATTTAAGCTTTGGGAAAATAATTTAAAAAACCCGTCTTTGACACATGTCGCGCTAATCAGTTTGTAAGGGCATAATAAAAAAACAACCTCGCAAGTCTGAACTTTGTCCAACATCCAAAGCTGTGGGCTTACGACCCAAAAAAAAAAAAAAAAAAAATTACACATGAGAAATGTACTCTTATTACGATTGCACGCTACTTCTATGTTTTTTTTTTTTTTTGTTGAAATCGAATTTCATTAAATAGAAAGTCAAAGCTAGATTACATCAAAAAATAATTGAGTTCACACCGAATACAACACAAACAGACATAGAGCCCACTACCATAATAAAACTAACAAAATGCATAAAACACACATAAAGGCAAAGAGCCTACAACAACAAAAGCCCACAAAACACAACACAACATTAGGAAACCCTAACACAAGCCGCACAATCCAATAGATAAAGTCACAAGCTGCACCACCAAAGCAAGCCACCCAATCCAGGAGTAGAGCTACCATAATCCGAGCAATAAGTGCTATTTGCACTTTTAAGGGCATCCCAAACTCCATAAGTGCCACTTAGGGTAAACAACAGAATATACATTCGTGGAGTGAAGAAGCCGATGATAGTGGTTGAGACCAAACAAAGAGACGCAACCTCCAACAATGAGGAGAGAATGCAGTGCAGAAACTTGTAAACTGTACCCGAAAAAACAAAACCGAAGCCTTCACAGCCTAAAAGCGGAAACGAGTTAAATTAAATTTTTTTTAAAGGAAAGAGAGAAAAAACGAAGAAAAGAAAATAGCTCTGCAAAAACAAACCCCAAAATGGTGGAAGAGAAAGGAAAATGAAGGAAAATGGAGGGAAGGGGGAGGAAAAGGAGAGGAACTAGAATGTCTTAAATATGAAAGGAAAGGAGATTGAGGAAGGAGGAGGAAAAGAAGGCCAGAAAACCTAAAGAAAAAACAAAGGGAGATGAAAAAGAAAGATGGAGAAAGAGGGAGGAGGGGGTGGGGGAGAAAGCCGGAAGAAGGGGGAGAGGGGAGGGTTAGTGACCAACTGCCGCTCAAGAAGCAGCGCCTGAAGAAGAGAAGAGGAGCTAGGGTTGAGAGAAAGAAAGAGAAAACTTCTTGAGAGAGTAATAATAAAAGACAAGAAGGGAATAAAAGAACTAATTCAGATGATAAGACATGACCTGATTTTTTTCCACTGTAGGAGTTTTCTTTTTCTTTTACATTGGGAGAGAGGGAGAGAAAACCATAACTGGCAACGTATTGCCAACTGTACATAAATTTATTTTACAAGCATTGCTAATGAGATCATTTATCGATCCTAAGGTTATTACATAAATGTCCTAGTTCAGGCCTTGCATCCATCCATGATGCGAATTTTATCTCAGCTGCAGAAGTGCAGTAGAGGTAAGACCTAAATGTGATAAGGAAAAAGTACCGCCTGCAGATGTAAAAAGGAGATGGTTAGATATAACAGAAAAATGAATTATAATTGTGAAGTTAAAAATTAATGCTTGCTGAACATATCCCTTGTAAAAAAAAATAAAAAATTGTTTGTGCAATCAATGCAATACAAATGCATGTTTATTTATTTATTTCAAGGAGTGGGTTTCAACCATCTGATGTAGTCGAGAGTCGATACAACACAAGCAAATATAGAGACACACACACACACACACACAAAGCTTTTATTATGACACACCAATACGTGCAGTAAATCCATCTACTTTTTCATTTATTTAGCGCACATAGTTTTTCCCCTTTTTTTTCCTCAACATATCAATATATATGCATGAACAGTTCCCATAATTAAATGAACTGGAGGGAAAACAACACCAGGTCACATGCTACAGAGTCTAACCACCAACCAAAGAAAGAAAGGCTTTATACTGTTCATTCCTAACATAAAATTAGGAGATCAAAAAAGAGTTTTTCTCCTCTAGTGATATATGGAATATTAGAGAATAACTAGCCACATCCTACTGTTGGAATTGGTTTAAGTAAGATGAGAGCATATACAGGCACGTGGTAACTATGTTTATCCAATACTTCGAAGTGAATGAAACTGCAATTCAAATGGTTTGACAAAGGCTAAACCCTATTTATCTAAAGGTGGAAGACATGAAAGCAAACATACACTCATAAATAAATAAATAAATAGAGACAGAGACTTCAACGGTTCAACCTACCACAGCTTTTACAAAATCATATGGACACAGCCTCTAAATTGGAAACCTACAGACATGTACATGATAATCCTATGTTGCATGGACACGAGCGAACACAATAATGAAGAGACGGAGCTTGAACTAAGGAGCAGCTTCAGAGTTAGACAGAGGTAACAGTCCAATGAGAGGTATGTATGTTCCAAAAAGGACAATTCTTCTTGTGAGGGACATTGGATTTGGGGAAAAGTGGGATTGTAGTTGCTGCTGTGGTTCATTTTCATTTGGATAATTGATCAAGGTGACTGAGGATGACTTGGTTTTGCTAAAAATCAATTGTCTAGAGGTCGTTGCAGAATAGGTGCTGGCACAGCTACAACCAAGGATTAAAGTGTTGATACCAGTAATGGGTTCAGAAACTTCGGTGGGTTAAGAAACTTCAGTGGATTAAAATGTCCATACCGGTAATGTCGATTCCGTTCTTCCTCTTCTTCTTTTTCAATTGTTTTACACAGCAACGGTTAGGAAACTTCAGTGGGTTTACACTGAAATCCACCGAAATTTCAGTAAAAATCAACTGAAATTCACAGATATTGTGTGACATGCTGATATTTTGTCAACAATACTGAAACTTCCAAGCTTTCTACGAAGTTAAGGGCAACACGGGTGAAATTTCGGCAATTCCACCAACATTTAAAACCTTGGCTACAACGGAGGTAACACCTGCAAGCCTGCAGGCCAGTCTTTAGCTTCGTCTCACATCCTGGCAGCTTTGCCACCAGACGTGGTGGGCATGAAAGGGCCTGGATAAGGATAGAGATGTGATATTGATGATGCTCATTTTCTTTTCATTGAACATTGTCATCTAATACTGGATTTGGGCTTTGAATTTTGAAATTTTGAGCATGATTTGGTTCCGGTTTGGCAGGTGTTTTGGAGCTCAAAAACAAAGGAGCTGTAGAGTATGAGGATTTTCTATGTTAACCTCTGCTTCATCACCAAAGAAAAATTGAAGATTATCTTCTGTAAAAGGTTAAACAAAAAAGACTCTCCACATCATTCAACTTAACCAAACAGGAGCAATCTGGGTTAACGGGCCTGGACTTATTAGTAGTTTGCTGAAGTAGAGATGTCTACGTAATTACATGAAGTAGCAAGCAGGCTGAAGTATTTTACTTGGAAAGTAGTTGACTGTGAGCCTGTGAACCATCTAAGAAAATTTCCTCAATATACAACAATTTGAACTCATGCATTGATGATATCTAATAGAGGTTAGCTAACATATCAGGCCCCTCTAAGCAAAGAAAATAGAGTTACGGAAGAAACTTAGGAAGTGCTTTAAGAGTTAAATTGTTGACGAACATAAAAACTACCTTAATGCTTTGATACCCATGTCCATGAGGTATGCTTGATGCTCATCATCATCGTCAGGGAACTTCTCGAGTTCCTTACTATAATAAAGAATATCGTCTCGTAGATGCCCTGCCCCTGCACACCTTTTAATTGAAGGACCAAAGTGAGAAACATCAACAATAAGAGCTAATTACTACTACCACCTGAAGTTATGTTTAAAGATGATCAACTCCCCACAAAATGTAAAACAAGCAAAAATGGTGCAGTTACACAATTACTCAAATAAAACGCAATTCGTCAAGCAAGGATGTATTCTTTCTCAAGTCCACACGAGGAACACACAAAATTACACGGCCAACAGCACAATTTAATGCTTCTATGCTACTGTTGGCCAGACCTGCTTTTACATTTTATACATTACCTGATGCTTAGACAAGTACGCAGTACCATAAGGCGATAAAGTTCGACATGGACTTTCTAAGATATAAAATACCTTTCAATAACTACGTCAACATCTGCTTTGCTCTTGGGACCATACACAAGAACTCTCGTAAGGCTTAGTATGTCTCGGTAGTCACCCATCCTACGAACTTCTTCATCAGAAGCTCGAGAAGGCAAGTCCTCTTCAGTTGTATATGATGGATTCGTTCTAAACAGTAGTTGTGGGTCCTTCGATACAAAGTCAGCTTCTGCACCAAATCTAATACAAACAATAGCCATTGCATATGCAACTCCTCCAAACCCCGTGTGTGATACAAAAAGGTAACACCCTGCAGAGCTATAGGCAAAAAGTTAATTCTATTGAATTACATAATTTACATTAGAAATAAATTAAAAAATTGAACTTCAAAGCAAGGCTCACAGAAACCAGCTTCTTACAAAACTCATAAACTACAATAGTGCTCTGATATCAAAATACACCAAGATAATACCAAAGAATGTCAATAGTAAAAAATAAATAAAAATTGCAAGTATATTCAGATGACAGACATGGTCTATCACTATATGACCTTTGACTGTTGTTATTATTATTTTTAAACTAAAAAAAAAAAAACCTCCCTTATCCTCGTTTGTGGTATCATGTTGGGGAACAGGCCCTTAAGCATGCAACTTTGTTTTCTTAATGAAGGGCAATTTTCCCAGTGCAATTTGGTTTACTGAAACAAATAATGGTGAATCAAGAGTACTTTTCTTAACAGCTGCAAATGAGTTTAGTTTGCATTAATAATTTTTATATCTCAAATTTTCATTGTTTAGTATAAGTTTTCTTAGTTGAGACAAAATTTTCATTATGTGGTATTGCTATTTACTGATGGGATGCATACCAGTTACAGATACTTACTCATCTATACAGTATTGAATTGCATCCACATCAGAAGCTAAAGCCTCTCTTTCTCTAGTTAATGGTATTCTTCTATATGTAATATTATAACCCTCATCTTTCAGAGCAGCATATACTTCAGCTGGTGTCTTCACATCATCTGCAAAGATATTTTCCAAGTATCCAATGACGCTGGACTGATTCAATGCCGGGCTATATTCTTCACGATGTAAAAGCATACGGCCACCAGACCGTCTGACCTCAGATAGTATATCTTCTTTTAGTCGTGCTTCCATGTGTTCCACCTGCATATGATTGCAAGAATTTTAATTTTGAGATCATATTCAGCCTAATGACTTATATTAAAAATAAAAAATAAAAAACATACCACTGGGCCTGTGATTCCCACATGCTTGAGTGTATCAACAGGTTTGTTTAGCTCCCGTAAGACAAATGGTGTGCCATTAATGTAAACAACTGCTTCTTCTCTCAGATCAGTTAAAATCACTTTCTGAGCAGCAGATCCTTCTGCTTTGGGCTTGGCACCTAAATATGCTAGCATCTCTTTGGCACCAGGAATTGTTGGCGTAGCCATGCTGTACACAGGATATCCATCCACCTGGTTCAAATAAAAATTTTAGGGTTAAAAGTGGCAAAGTCTCTTTGCACTGTAAAAGTTACCTTCTCAGTATAGCCACACTAAGGCTGTTACATAAAAAAAATATATATATATTTACGTATATTATTTTTTTAAATGTGGGCCTGCTTATAATAAAAAACAGCTTGATTCAGACAATAACTCCCAGTACCAGAGACAGCCTTTTAACAGATCTTCAGGCATAGACTATAGCCTTTATGGCAAAACCATTGTGCATTATTTAGTGTTTGTGTGGTAGTACTCTTGGCTGCACCCAACACTTCGCATCAGATGCATTTACATAATTAAGCATGCTTTTATCTTATATTTATGATCTTCTATATTATAGCGTCTCATTCATATCCATGTATCTCCTAGTTCATGCATGCATTCAGCTAGGATTCATATATCATCCAAGAGTGACATTTATGTAGCATTTATGCATTCATGTATCAACTAGCTACATAAGGGTGACTTCTTCTACCCTTAATCAATCATTCTAAATTTCGATTATAATCTATCCTAAAGATCTCTCTTTGAGAGTGTTATTTCTCCTTGTGGATTTAAGTCATTTTCCTGGTAGAAAACGAAGATTTTCTTCTAGTTTTCGCTTCTGTTCTGCATCAAGTAATTCCTGGACCTTTCCAGAAAGACCCCTTAAATTTCCCATACATCATTAGTAACTAGCCCCGATATAACATTAATAACAGCTAGACAGACCCCCTATACTCCTGGTGGGGTATTAATAACCAAAAGACAGGCTCCCCATACATAATTAATAACAATGGCACTTGAACATAATTACTACTTAGTACTTAGTAAAGTTGTCCAGGCATCTCTCAATAGATATAGTAAGATGTATTTACTTCATCAATCCCTCCCCCTTCGAGTCAAGTGTTGACATCCAATCTCATCTTTTGTGCCATCATTGTATGGATACAAACTGAGACGATGAATATGTGATCAATTCCCAAACGCCAACGTAAATCAACTCTAAATGCATTTTCTCCATTTTTCTTGATGATGTGGTTCAGTCCATATTTTTGCTAAATTCATAATAAGAGCCAACAGGAAATCACCCCACCTTAACTAAACCATTCGCTTTTTCAGAAACTCTAGACACTCCTTTTCTTATCTGCATAGGCCTTGTATTTGGCATTTGAATCTTCAATCTTCAGCCAGCTTTGACCCAAATCAAAGCAATGATTCAGTTGCCTCCCATATACATTTTCAAAGGGGCTTTTGCTGGTAGTTCAATTCTAGAATAATTATATGCAAATTCAGCTTGTCAAACATCTTCCCATTGTTTTGGGTTCTGTACTGGTACTGATTTCAATTCCTATTTTCCTTCCTTTACGAGCAACACAGAAGCAGCCCCATTATGTTCAAGTTCAGTTAAAAACTGTCAAGATGTCAAGCAAGGATGTACTTCGTTCTTCTTGGACTCAGGGAAGTCATCTTCCTTCATCGTAGCTAGGACCACCTTAACTTCATTCTTAAAAGAAGGCATAAAAATTCTTTTCACGATGGTGAACAGTCTTATTATCAAATTTCCATGGCCTCCCTAATTCTTCCATGTCCACCACATCACATAAAACTTTGTGTGAGTAAATTTTTCCAATGGAAAAGGGAACAAGAAATTGTTGTGTCATCTTAACCTCTCCTCCCTTTTTGAACAAAGCTATATGGTAAGGTCTTGGATGTTGCTGAACCTAAAGATTCAGTTTTGTCACCATTTCTCTAGATACCAGATTTTAGCTACTTCCTCCATAAATGATAACATTACAAAACCTCCCACAAGAGGAGCCTAGATTTCCAAAGGGAAATCAAGGAAAGCATTTGGAAACTGATAATCTTTCATGTAAAATATTTCTAGGCTAACTTTTTTTCTCACCACTGGACTAGACCCTTTTATAATACGAGAAGACCACCCCCTGACTCGCTTCACCTCAATATAAATATTCAAACATATATGTTAGTGCAAAATCAACCAACTGCATCAAAGAGAAAGCAGCTGTCTTCCAGACAACTCTATCGCCAAATGAAGTAATCCTGTTAAATGCATTTTATACAGTTGATTTGCAGCCTTATCCAATTGCATGGCAGACTCACTTACCCTTACTTAATCAAGCGGGAAGAAATGCAAGCATACCTTATAAACATGTGGTGCACCATGAATTTGTATGTGGCTAGAAGTCCTCTGACCTGGAAAGAAATACATTTTAAGTATAGATCCTTTCCCCAAAACAGAACCACTACGGGTCTTGACAATAGCCTCCATGACAGCATCTCCATGTTGAGACTCATACGGTGCTCTCAACTCCTCCTGAGTTCCAAAACCAAAATGAAAGCAATTATATAATCCATCCCAAAACAAGAAGGAAATGTTTACTAAGCTCTTAAAGTCTCTAAATTGCCCAGTTAAAAGGAAAAATAAAGGGAAAATGAAAAAGAAAAATTCTCTAAGTCAACAAGTAGAAGGGATTTACAGGGACAGTAAAAAATCGTCCAGGCCTTAATCTTATGCTCCATTTCATTGCTTGAACTTCTGGTCTCTGATGCAACCAATTCTTAAATGTCATCCTAGATTCTCCTTGCCCACAAAATCCATCAAATGCTTCACTTCCTAAGTATGCTGCAAAAGCAATTAAACGAAAGTAGCGCTCCAAGTACTCAGCACCACGATTCAATGCCACCCTCCTTACCCTTGGCTCAACATGTTGTTGATTGAATACCTTTCTATATTGCAGAACGGCTTGTCCACCCCATTATCAAATAATCTTGTTATTTTCCACAACAAGAGGATGTCATTCATGCCAAATACACGGCCTTGATCCTTTTCATTTCTTACAGCTGTAACACTGGAGGTTGATGCAGCACTATTACCTCCTGATTCTTCACCACTTGAGCTACCACCATCCACCTCTTCGAGGGTAATATTGTCAGCCAGGATTTTGATAGGTCTCCCGTGGTCAATTCGAAGTTTCAAAAGGCAAGCAATTACAGTACCTGTGGTTGTCCTTCCTCTGCCCATCTGTGAATATTAAAAGAAAACAAAAAAGAACAGAGGAAGTTCAGGGGAAAGAAACGAATACAAGGGAAAAGAAAAATACATTAGATTGATCCAGAGAAATTTAATGTCTGTGTATAGAAAAAAAGAAAGGAAAATAATTAAATGTCAACCTGGCAATTGAAAACAAAAGCAGTGTCCTTGGATGCAGAAGCAATATTAATAGCCAACGTGTCAAAGTCAGAACTTTTGGGAGCTTTACCATCAGTGATGGGCACACGCGCATACTTTATGGGAAAACCATCTGTCTCCAAACCTTTAAAAACCTCAAGTGGGGTCTGAATAGCCTCAGAATTTACATGTTCCCAAGCATCAAATATTTGCCCATCATCTGTTTCATGAATAACCATTATAGCACCCCCATAACGCTCAGCTTCTCGCAGTATATCTTCTTTCAGTCGAGCTTCCATCCTCTCCACTCTCTCACGATCGATACCCTGAAAGAAGAAATCATGGTTTCATATTTTTCTTTTGGACAGGAAACATATATACTTTCGTTTCTCAAAAGTAAAAGATCATGGTTTCATTATAACCTAGTCCACTACAAACAGAAAAAGAAAATCCAAGGCAATTGTATGAACCATGACAGTTGTAATCATGTCTTGGACTGTATCCTTGTAGGGTCCTAGATGCCATGCCATGCCATGCCATGTTCATGCTATGAGATCTTTCTGCTTGAAACTCCAAAAGCGCATCAATTGAGGTATGTATTCTGTTTGGGTTACGAGAAAGGGACAAAATCCTTTTCCATTGCAGTAGAAACTCTCAGTATCCACAGTGCTAGCTGTGAAGACATTTGTCTTGACACGCTTCAACAAAATTAAATTTATGGACACCAAGCTGCACCGGTGCCATACACACTGAACATTGAGTGACAAGTTTTGTCATAAGTTCTCTCTATTTCTAATAGAAAATATGACTTGAAGATTAGATGGACGGAACAAATGCTTTTTATCTAGAGGTGGGAGGGTTACTTTTGTGCAAACAGAATTGGAAAGATGTTTTACTGGAGGGCCGAGAAGGGAAAAAGAGTACATGGTAGACTGGGTATTGGTTGAAGGGCTTAGAGTTTAGGGAAAAAGAGTATATGGTCTAGATGCCAGTGGGGGGAGTTAAGTGTTGTCTTAACAGGAACCCGTCGAAGCCTTGGAAGTATACATAACGGGCTTAAAAACTCAGTTTTGTGGTGGGAAATGGGGAGCGGATCAGATTCTAGCAAGATAAATGAGTGGGGAATTTTCCTTTCTGTTTATCATTCCCCCGTCTTGATGTGATAGACCTAGCTTTTGATAGTTTGGCCTAGATTGTGGCTGTCCACGTGCTAGCTGTTTTTGTGGGATTGTGGAGTGCTAGCTGTTTTTTGTGTAGTTTGGGTAGGAGAGAGATAGATCTTTTTAGATGTACAGTGCGGATGACGAGGAGAGCTCTTGGGAAAAGGTGAGGTTCTCCCGTCTTTAGGGACGTCTCATTTTTTTGGGGGACCACTTGTTCACTAAGTCTTGTACTGTGTTTTTGAGTTTCTTAAATAAAATTTTGTTTATCATAAAAAATAAATAAAACAACAAAAGAAAAAGATTGAGCAGGCACAGCCATCCTGCAAGAGAGACTCCGCTGTTGAACTTCGTTATGCATGTACAGTGTTCATATATATAAGATAATATTCTCTTACCTAAATTCCATAAGATGCTTATGTTTTCAAACAATGAGGTTGCCTCACATACTTCAGGAAATAATGAACCTAATCAATGGTCCAGATTCACAATATTGCAACACAAGCCTCTTCTGTTGCCAAAATATCTCACAAGAGAATATATCTGTATATAATATATGCAAGTCTTTTGACAATTTGAACATGATTGAGTTTTTTATGTAATCTAGCTTAAATACCATAAGGAAATGCTCTCAAATACCACTATTACTGTAGCAATTTTTTTTATGTAATCGACAGAATATCGATACTTTATCGATTTTATATTAAGACTATTTGGGACTGTTTTCTATCAAAATTATGGGACAATATCGACAACATATCAAGATGAACGATATAATGGGACTATAATATGCTATTTGAGAACTTAGCTACAGTCATAGTGATATTTGAGAGCATTTCCCTATACTGTAAGGAGCAAAATGTACACTTCCACAGTATTTCTGGTATGACCAGATAACTCAGTGTAAAGTAGCATGCAAAGTGTCTAATGGTTATATTCGACTTCAAGCAACAAGTACTCTTCCCTAATTTAATTTGAAGAAACATCATATAGATATGACATGCAAGGTAAAAAATAAGAAAAATTACCGTGTATTCAAGCATATTTTTGTATGGTCGTTCAACCTCACGGAGTACAAACGGTTTTCCATTGATGTAAATCACAGGTTCTTCTCTCATATTATGCCAAAAAACTGGTCGACCATCTTTGGAGCTACAAATCTTTTGGATGACAGACCGTATACCATCAATTGTTGGATTTGCGACTCCATAAACTGGAAATCCAGGGACCTCCCGAAAATTAGGGGCACCATCCACTCCTTCTGGTAAATTTTGGTTTTGACAACCAGGACAGTGGTCACTTTTCAAAACTGTTTGGCTACCAAGAACCTCGCCCTTTCTCAAGGCCGCAACTACACCCATCTCATAAGGCCGGCCATCAGCAGATTCAGCAATCTTCTTTAAAGATGGTTTCAAACTTGCATATCCAAGTGCACCCATTGGATCTCTTCTCAGCAACCTACAACAAAGGAACAATTTAAGCAAATGAACGTAGCTAGATGGAATCCCGATAACTAATCTATGTTCTATTTCTTTCATGAATTGGACAAAAATTCACGAATAGAGATTCATAGTTATATATTCATGTCATTATGCCAAGAGCTAAAAAATAACTAACCAAGTATGCACTTAAACAATGCAGCCTGTCAGCTCATTATATGAATTTGGACTCATCTCAACTTGTGGTGCACGTATACTTCCTTGGGTCAGAATCATACATGTATACTCCTCTCACCTTATGTATCAGTGCCACAAAATTGAACTTTTTCGGGTCAGACAAGGCCTCCAGGCTTGGGCCAATCTAAAAAAAGTTAAAGAGGCAGGACCCTTTCTGTGATTTTAAAATTTTGAACCTTCTAACAATTAAGGACAATTAGTCCAAAGAGAGCACTACGCTACTGACCATATTGCAAGGCAACAAAGCCTCTATTGACTAACATGGTGAACAAGGCTTCTAAATCTTTTTCTTTCCTTCCTCTCTGTTTTGGATGCAAGAACATAAAGCTTACTCTGCCATTGACCCAACAGAAAAGTAAATTCCAAATCTTATGGCCCTCTTTTATCCAACAAAAATGAATATCTCCAATTTCTTTAAACTCTCTGCGTCTTTGCTTTCTAACAAGAATCAGTGGAAGAAGAAAAGAAATAAAAAGCCAAAAGTTGCAGAAGAATATTACATCCTTGGGGTTCTATTGAAGGAACAGGACTCTAATGAGCCAAAAGAGGCAAGACCTTTCCAAAAGCATTTTCTGTCCTTAATCAGCCTTTCTTTATTTTTTATGGGAGAGTGGAGTGCAGCAGGAAAGAGATGGGTTACATTAAAATGGTTGGGTTCCAAGATAGTGATTAAAGGCTCAAGTCAACGTCCCTGGAAAGACATTTCCCAAGGCATTATTAACTCCTTTTATTTTCACTATCATTTTGTGGTGAGATACAAGGAAACAGTAAAAATAATGGGAATAGAGCTCCATTGGGTAAACACCCTTGTGTTTCTGCTTTTCCTTGTCTATATATAGACTGTCAACTATCATAATCTTCCCATAGCTAGATTCTGTGTAAAGTCATTTCTTCTTTTCAGCAG